TGCCTTGGTAAGGCCACACTTGGAATACTGCATCCAGTTTTGGTCACCACGATGTAAAAAAGATGTTGAGACTCTAGAAAGAGTACAGAGAAGAGCAACAAAGATGATTAGGGGACTGGAGGCCAAAGCATATAAGGAAAGGCTGCTGGAATTGGGTATGTCTAGTTTAATGAAGAGAAGGACAAGGGGGGACATGATACAGTGTTCCAATATCTCAGGGGCTGCCCCAAAGAAGAGGGGGTCAAGCTACTCTCCAAAGCACCTGAAGGCAGGACAAGAAGCAATGGATGAAAACTCATCAAGGAGAGAAGCAACCTGGAACTAAGGAGAAACTTCTTGACAGTTAGAACAATTAACCAGTGGAACAACCTGCCTCCAAAAGTGGTGAATGCTCCAACACTGGAGGTTTTTAAGAAGAGACTGGACAGCCATTTGTCTGAAATGGTATAGGGTTTGCTGCCTGAGCAGGGGGTTGGACTAGATAACCTCCAAGATCCCTTCCAACTTTATTATTATTATTATTATTATTATTATTATTATTATTATTATTATTATTATTATTATTATTATTATTATTATTATTATTATTATTGGGACGTTGCAACCGTCATAAATATGAATCAGTTGCCAATCATCTGAATTTTCATCGCGTGAGCATGAGGGATGCTGCAATGGTCTTTTGTTGCCCAGGCCCAGAATGGACTTCTGGAAGTGGCATCCATGCAGAGAACCGGTTGTTCACCTATTTGAATCCCACCACTGGGTCATAAGTCACTTTTTCGGTGATGCTGTAACTTTGAACGGTTACCAAACCAATGTTGTAAGTCGAGGACTACCTGCATTGCTGCCCCATTCACTTTGTCTTTCAAAAGTTGCAACAATGGATCAAACACATGACACACACCTCCGCCAGGACACTGCAACCATCATAAATACATGCTTCCAAGTTGGGATCACATGACCCTGGGGATGCTGCAATGGTCATAAGTGTGAAAAACCATTGCAAGTCACTTTTTCAGTGCCCCGGCAACTTCAAACGGTTACTAAATGAACGGTTGTAAGTCGAGGACTATCTGTGTATACAGTTCAGACATCACTGGCTTTGGGATGTGTTGTTCAACGATGGCAGCGTCATTTAAGTCATCAAGCATCTCATGAGCATGCTCAGTCACTACATAGGTACCATGTAACAGTTCATAGCACCCCATAATATTCTCAGCAGAATCTTTTTAATGCCTAATTGCATATCCAGGAGATGTGCTTTGCCCTCCCAAATCTGTTATTCTTTAACTTTATAACAGGGGTCTTCAAACTTGGCCCTTTTATGACTTGTGGACTTCAACTCCCAGAATTCCTCAGCCAGGGTGCTCCAATATGGGAGGTTTTTAAGAGATTGGATAACCATGTGTCTGAAATGTTATAGGGTTATCTGCTTGAGCAGGAGGTTGGACTAAAAGACCTCCAAGGTCCCTTCCAACACTGTTATTCTGTCATAAGTTGAGGACTGCTATATGAGAAAGGTTGATACACCATGAAAAAAATAGCACCATTGTCTCCAACTGCATTATTCATTTGTGTTTCTTTGCTCCTGCAGAAATTGACTGTCTCATTAGACTCCCTGAACCGGAGGACTATTGGGAACCCATTTTTGGAATCTGCATTTTTCTTTTCTCCTTCATGATCCCAGTGGTGGTGATCACCATCTGCTACAGCCTCATGATCAGGCGCCTGAAAAATGTCCGGGTCCTCTCTGGATCAAAGGAGAAGGATAGGAACCTCCGGCGCATCGCTCGGTTGGTTCTCATCGTTGTGGCTGTTTTTATCATCTGCTGGACCCCTGTTCATATCTTTGTCCTGGTCCGAAGTCTTGGAGCCAAGGCTGATAATGAACTCAGTTTATCCATCTTGTACTTCTGCACCGCCTTGGGCTACACCAACAGCTGTCTGAACCCCGTTCTCTACGCGTTCCTCGACGAGAACTTCAAGACGTGCTTCAAGAAGTTCTGCTTCCCCTCGGCCTTCAGGAAGGAGCTTCAGATGTCCAACCGCATGTGTAGCATCGCCAAGGATGTGGCCTACGCCTGCAAGAACTCCGACGGGACTAACAATCCAGCATGACTAGGCGTGGAACTCCCCATGGTTCCTGTCAGTCAGCAGAGCCCAACCACGCCGACGTCAGAGCTAACGCAGATCACGGCTCTTTGAAGATCGTGGCTCTTTGTCTTGACCCAGGATTGGAGAGCCATGGGGAGCTGGAACGTTTTAAAGCCTCACTCCCACCGTTTTGCGAAGTGAGTCAGCGGGAAGCAAAAATTCAATGCTTCTTCATCTTTGACGATTGTATCGGGATTTGAACTCCAAGATAGTTTAAGGTGACAAATTTCTGGAGTTCTGTGTTGACAGACGTGCAGCTATTCAGACCTTTCTTCCTTAAACCTGCGTTTCTCTCTCCCTCTGTGTGTGTGTGTGTTTTCTGTGTGCTTGTGTGCTGTGTGTGCCTGTCGAGAAAAGACACTCAAGAAGTGGGAAAAGATAACAAATGTGCTGATAGAAGACCCTAACGTTGAGACTCCATGTCAACATCTACAAATGAGACTCGGCGGTGTCGCCATTAACACCTTGTCTAGAATCGTTCTTACATTCTGTCAGCACCGTCGGTTCTGCGAGTTTCACACACATCAAGCCACGGCTAGAGATTCACAGCAAAAACCTGGACGTCCTTGTCAACAACTTAGCAGCAAGGAGCTGAAAGAGTCGAAGTGTGTACCTTTGCGCATTTTAGTGGCTTGAACAGCCTCACAAATTGTAGGTAGCACCGGGAAAGAATCCGAAACTAATGCTCACTGGAATCCTTGGGCCAAAGGAAAGTGAAAAATAGAGAATGGTGCGGGGTTTTTTTTGAAGTTTGTTTTTAATGCTGTTTTCCAAATAACAGAGGCCTAGAGGGATTTCTCGCAGGCGTTGAATTTTTGAAGACAACTCTCTTTGGTGGTTGGGTAAGCTGTTCTTTCATAGGAGAGTCCAAATTCTGAAATCAGTGACTCTTCAAACATGGATAGACAGTTGCACGCAGCTGCAGGCTCCAGATCCTGTACAGTGACCAAGCTGGGGGAAGTAATCCCTTGTGCTTCTTTCTCTGTTTTGCAAAAGACTCTCGTGTATTTCTTCACCTGGATGTACTCTAAAAGGTTGGATTGAGAGGGACCCTTAATTTTATTCACATCTTAATCTGATGTGAAGTGGAACAATTGCAACTGGTTGATGCTGGCTGTCAGGTCAAGGGATTAAAAATTAGGCATTCCAGAAGTGGGTGGATTTAAGGACGACACTTCTGAACCCTGCTTTTTGAATTCAGGGTTTCTGGCATTGAGCTGATTAGAGTTTTTCAAGTAGGTGGAAAAGAACAAACATGGCTCCTTTTTATGGACAAAGAGATGAAAGTAGACAATTAAAATTAACTGTGCTGACTCCTAAGTATCAGATCAGGAAAAAAAAACAAGCTTGGTTCCATTCAAACGTAATATTCCTTTCTAAACAGCCAGAAGCCGCTGCTGTTTGGGGTGCGGGGCAGATTGTCCTCCTGTTTTACAGCTCCATGATTTGGAAGGTGCAGGTAGACTTCTCCTGAAGAAGGAGGTTCTACAGAGCTGACATGCCGGGTTTCAGTTTATAGAAAGACACATGTTGCAGCTGTGCGTGTTTCAACGCTTTGCAAAATGAATGGAAAATGGATTTGGTCTTCTCCCCAAGAAAGTGCTCAGAGATCAAGATATTTTCTTGATCGATGGTTGCAAATTCTTTATAGAGACTTGTATAAATTTATGTTTTGGGCAGATCCACTGACTAAAAACAAACAAACCAACAACCACCAAACTCTTTTGCATAATCTGTGTTTTTTTATTTTCTCATTGATTTTCCTACAACGAAAAGACAGCTTCCCGAGGTGGCAGTTCAGAGCTGAAGTATGGAAAAGTTGCATGGGTTGGTGTTTAGATCCAGTGGATCACCGGGTGAGGAAGACATAACTTTCTGCCTCTTCGCCACTTTTGCTGTACCACTTGTGGAGTGCGTTGGTCCCGATCTTTGCCTCTTTGCAGTCTTTCTGTAGTTGTGCCAGATCTTAGCAGCCTTCAACAGATGGAGCAACAGAAAGATCCAACAATCACATCCTTTGCTGTGACCGTCTAGCGAAAGTAGCTCATTACAATGAGTTCCACTTAACGCTGTTTCCATCGTTCCTGCATTTCTTCTCATTGATCCTTCTTTCTGTGGCCATATTCTCCTGTCAAGGAAAGGAGGCCCAGAGGACTTTTCAGAGAAAGTCCACCCGGATTTGTGGGTGGAGACATCTCTGCATCTCTTCAAGTCGAAGGACAAAAGAAGTTCTGCAGAAGTTTCCCAAAAGTAAGCTGTCTTCTTCGTTGCAATGGTAGCACAGTTGCTAAAAATGCCCCGTGCTGGAAGAAAAACAGAAAGACATCAAGGAGGATGAAGAAAAAAAAGATGCTGAAAAGAAAGAAAAGAGAAAAGAAAAAAGATGCTGAGGCCCTAGAAAGAATGCTGAGAAGAGCAACAAAGAGGATAAGGGATCTGGAGGCTAAATTGTGCAATGAATGGCTAAGGGAACTAGGTATGTCTAGCCCAGGGGTAGGCAACTCTGGCTCTTTTATGACTGGTGGACTTCAACTCCCAGAATTCCTGAGCCAGCCACGCTGAGGGAAAAGGGAGAGGTTTCCAAGTTGAGCCATGCTGGCTCAGGAATTCTGGGAGTTGAAGTCCACAAGTCATAAAGCGGCCTAGGCCTAGGCCAGAGGTAGGCAACCTTGGCTCTTTTATGACTCGTGGACTTCAACTCCCAGAATTCCTGAGCCAGCCACGCTGAGGGGAAAGGGAGAGGTTTCCAAGCTGAGCCATGCTGGCTCAGGAATTCTGGGAGTTGAAGTCCACAAGTCATGAGGGGGCCAAGTTTGAAGAGCCCTATTCTATCTAGTGCAGGGGTAGGCAACCGTGGCTCTTTTATGACTCGTGGACTTCAACTCCCAGAATTCCTAAGCCAGCCTGGCTCAGCTTAGAAACCTCTCCCTTTCCCCTCAGTGTGGCTGGCTCAGGAATTCTGGGAGTTGAAGTCCACGAGTCATAAAAGAGCCAAGGTTGCCTACCCCTGGGCTAACCTAATGAAAAGAAGGATTAAGAGTGACATGAGAGCATCTTCCAATTACTTGGGGGGGGGGGCTGTCACAGAGAAGAGGGGGCCAGTTTATTCTCCATAGCTCCTGAGAGCAGGATAAGAAGCAAGGGGTAGAAGCTCCTCAGTGGGAAATCCAACCTAGAAGTAAGGAGAAATTTCCTGACAGTGAGAACAATTAATCAACGGAACGACTTGCCTCCAGAAGTTGTGGGTGGTCCATCACTGGATTTTTTTTTAAAGAAAAGATTGGACAACCGTTTTTCCAAAATGGGAAAGGGTCTCCTGCTTGAGCAGGGGGTTGAACTAGATGACCTCCAAAGTCCCTTCCAGCCTGTGAGTCTATGAGTGACGGAGAGGAGAGGCGCCAACTCTAGCCACCTTAGTGCACGGTGAAACCAGGAAGAGATTCAGCCGATAGGTGGGGGGGGGGAACCCCAGAAAAGCAAAACTCTTTTTCCTGACGAAATGTGTTTCTCCTTCAGTGGCGTCGCCTCCTTTGCAAAAAGCAGCTATGAATGTTCATTAACAATGTCGGTGTGAAATTGCAGAGCTTGAGTCTTAGCGTGCCTGAGAAAACAAGATTATTATTTTTTTCATTATCGTGCCTGGGGAGAATGGATTTTTTTTTCTTTCTTTTTTTTTTGTAAAAAAATAAATAAAAAAAAAGGTCGTGAAGAACGAAGACGCTGAAATTTCACCGAGCGAAAGAAAACAAGCTCTTCAGAATTGATTTCAGACAAAAAGCAGAGGTTTTTTTTTCCTCTGAGTGCTGCTGATTGTACAGACTTTTTTTTTACGGAAAATGTTTCTTATAAGCAGAAATTAATGATTACACTTATACGCACATACATATACAGCAGTGGTGGCGAACCTATGGCACGGGTGCCAGAGGCGGCACTCAGAGCCCTCTCTGTGGGCACACGCACCATCGCCCCAGTCCTAGGCCTTCAGTTGGGTTTTATAAAACCTTTTCGCTTTAGGCCTCTGCCGCCATGTGCAAAAGAAAAAGAAAAGGGTTCAATCAGGCAAATTCAATTTCTCGCGGGAAAAAAAAGACCTTGCAAAGTTGGAATTGATTGAACTTTTTAGTCCCACCCAGTCTGCCGTTACCACCGCAGCCACGCCCACCCAATGGGCCACACCCACCCAATGGGCCACACCCACCCAATGGGCCACACCCACCCGGCACCCGATGATGCATAAGTGGGTTTTGGGTTGCAGTTTGGGCACTCGGTCTCTAAAAGGTTCGCCATCACTGATATACAGTATATATATATGAAATACATATATACATATACACATACGCACATGCATTTAATATGTTGATTTTTCTGAATGTCCCAACATTTCCTGTAGAACCGCAAGCTGATGTGTTTTGTGGGTCTCCTTTTTTTTGTTCAGGGACTTCAGGAACAAGGCTAATGAGATATGGAGCAACTTCAGACATGGCTAAAATGTGATGGGAGGGGAGAAGCAGAAGGTCAGCCTCTTGAGCCGTGTTTCAAGAATGGTTAATGTTGGGTTTGGGAGAGGTTCATTTCCTGGAAGGCAAAAGGTAGAGATTGCCCTGAGAAGTCTACCATGTCCAGAACCTTAGAAATCTCCTATTAGATTAAATTTCTAATGAGTTGGGATGGGTCTGATCTGTCAACTCCTGAATGACATTCCCCAGAAGCTGTGCTAGTTTGATGGAGAAGGATGGAAGCTAGTTTGATGGAGTCCACCTAATTCAGGTAAATTTGGATCTTCTCAAAAGCGAGTTTGATGGAGAAGAAAGCTAGTTTGGTGGAGAAGGAGGGAAGCTAGTTTGATGGAGTCCATCTAATTCAGGTGAATTTGGATCTTCTCAAAAGCAAATTTGACGGAGAAGGAAGCTAGTTTGATGGGATTCACTTAATTAAGGTGAACTTGGATCTTCTTAAAAGCAAGT